CTGGTTTACCGCTACTGTCGAGAGGAAGGGAGATGTGAATAGTGGAGGTGTTTGAATTTGTTTTGATGGGGAGAAAAGAGAAAGATAGAGAGAGATGCGGCGGGGTGGAGAAAAAACAGAGAGAGAGAGTATGTGTGAAAGAGAAATGTAAAGAGAGGATAACGGGAAGAATTAGGGGAAAGATCATCATTGCAATAGTTAGTAGCGACGATCGAAGAGGGGAACAAGGGAAGACCAAGAAGAGGAAGAAGAAGAAGAAGAAGAAGATGAAAATAGAATGAGAGAAGGGAAATATATCGAACTCCTCACCGCCGCCGCTCCACTCTGGTTCTTCGTTCGAACGGGGAAGAAGAGGAATAGTAGATCCCTCTTAATTTAAAACTTAGGTTTGTATTTATAATAGCGCTAATGGCAATTTCATAATTTTGGTGATGATGCCGAGGGGTATTTTTATAATTTAGGGAAAATTGGGTTAAATCGGGATTCTGGTTCAATGGTTAGGATTTTTGGGTAAAAAATGGAGGGTTGAGATAGGTCTAACTGCAAATAGTGGTTTGTGTATGTGGACCAGTAATTTTGACCGAAAAAGAATCCTTCCTGATGAATGGGTAAATTGGGGTACTTTTGGTTAAAACTTCATAGGGTATGGGCTATGAACATTCTAAGTTGATTGGTAGGGTTTTATCAACCCAACTGAGCCCGGATCAGGCTGATTTGGAGGGGTAGTGGTTCAATCAATATGGGCTTTGAAATGAAATCTTGGTGCGATGAAGGGGCAAACAAAGGCAATTTTGGGTGAAACTTCATAGGGTAGGGTCTTCGGACAGTCTGAGGTGATTGGTAGGGTTTAAGTGGCCTAATTGGGCCTAGACCAGGTTGACTTAGAGGGATAGTGGTTTGATCAATATGGGGCTTCAAAATGAATTCTTGGTGCGATGAAGGGGCAAACAAATGTAGTTTTGGGTGAAACTTCATAGGGTAGGGTTTTTAGACAATTTGAGGTGATTGGTGAGGTCAAATTGGGTTAGATGGGCCTAGATTGGAAGGATTTTGAATCTAGTTAATCTAGAGTCTCGAAACAAAAATTGGGTGCAATGAAGGGGTAAGCAAAGGTGTTTTGGACTGAAATTTTATAGGTGGATATTTGGAGGTGTCCAAGATCTGATGATGATGTCTGATTAGTCTTAGAGGGTCAATATTGTATGAATTTGGATCAATAGGATGTTTTGAAATATAATCTTGGTTTGATGGAAGGGCAAATGACGGAATTTGGGGGTGAAACTTCATGGCAGGTGTTTTGATGTATCCGGAATTTAATGGTGTGGTTTGATTGGTTCAGATGTGTTTGGATCAAGGGGGTCTAGGTTGTGGGTGTTTTAGGCTATCGGGATGCGTCAGAATGGAAATCTTTGCTTGATAAATGGGTAAATGGAGGAATCTTGAGTTGAAATTTCATGGGTAGGTATTTTGAGAGGTCTTGAGTCTGGTGGTGGTGTCTGATTTGAGGATAAAAGTGTAGACGGGGGTTAATCGGGGCCGTCAAATAGGTTTAATAGTGGATTTAAGGGCTTTCGGGCTTTGGGTTCTTTGGTTTTTTGGCATTTTGGCATTTTGGAAGGATTCGATAGGTCTGAACGGGTGTTTAAGGGCAAATTGAAGGTTTGAGTGGTGGGCCGAGCAAAAATTAGGTGCTAATAGAGCTGAAGAAGAAAGGTGCGGAGACAAAGAAGAGAGTCACATGGTGATTGAAACCACAATGGAGAAGCATAGTGCTAGCAAAGATTGAAACCAATAGAAAAGAGACTGAGCAATTTTCAAAGGAGATTAGGGAAATGTTAACTTTTTCATTGCTCGAGAGTTTTTTACATAGATTTTTTAATGTAATTTTCACATCAATTCTCAATGTAAAAATACATTCAAACGATCATCTACATCAATAAACGTTTTTCATTTGCACTCCATCCAAACATGTACAAAACTAACCCAGATTGTAAAATTACACCAAACTGGGTTTTACATTGCAAACAAACACAACCTAAGATGTATTCCTATCGTGTCTCCGTATCATGGTTATTTAGGGTGGTGAAGGGTGAGGAGAGAAGAGGGGTTTGGGGGAGATTGGTTAAATAAGAAACAATAACCAATAAAAGTGATAGCTATAAGAAACAATAATCAAGAAAAAGATAACTGTTAAAAAGCCCATATATTTGAGATCGAAAACATATGATGTACAGGGGCTGTAGAGAAAAAATATTCTTTGTCTACTTGTATCATCTGAATATTGGTACATATATAGATAAAAATGATACCCCGATTTGCATCTTATATTGCTAGTAATTTTCATTATGTGATCAGAGAAGTTGGTCAAACAATGTATAATCATGCTCTAGGCCTTTAACAAAATCAATAGACAAAGCGGCCTAATGAATTGCCTATGTATAACTTTGACTTTATTTACCAGATTTATCCTTATAATTTATTTGAGAGTTTACACTGAAATGTGTATATCATAGTAACCAATCTTATAATGATGTCACTTTTTCGATGTTTTCTGATTTATATATTCCAGGATTCCTATATAGAAAATTAACAACTATTGGTGTCAAACACCTCCTAAATCTTAACAAAATCAGAGACCATGAGTTATGCAACCAAGATAACCAAAAGCTACTTTTATATCAACCAAACAGAAATAAAGCAACATGCATCCAGAAGAAATAGAAACCAAGAAACATAAAAAACAACCAAGTACCAACGTATAGACCTACGTTTTGAGGTAAACCATTTGAAACATTGTCCAATAAAACAATATCTTTCAATCACCCCATAATTCATTAGAAAAGCTATGCTAAGCCGACACATGCACTACCACATTGGTTATTTGTTTGACAAAGGAAAACTTTATTTTATAGTTGTTAGGCAAATCTATGCTAATCATTTCTATCATGAAAAATCATTTATTTTCTTGAAAATTTTGTATTAAAATTTCACTCTACCCCACTTTATTCCTTTTTCTTTCTCCTGTTTCTTTATCCCTCAATCCTCAAACTAGTTCTCTTTTAAACGTGTATATCAATTTTTCCTCAAATCCATCACGTGAAGTAGAAAGGATTAAGATAGTTGTAGCAGGATAGTCGAGTGACTCATTTAAGGAATATTGTTAAAAATCTACAAAAACACTACATATTGGTAAGACCCTTGTGCGTTAAAATGAAAATAGAGAACCCATATGACCAAAATCCTTGTGTGTTAAAATGAAAATGAATCATTGTGCATTCATTCCTCCTAGGTTCGTTTCGCTCCTATTAAGTTGTTCCCTCTTCAGACATAAGAAGTTGAATCTAGGATTAGAAAAGAGGGCAAAGAGTGTAATATATAAACATGGGTATTTTAGTAAAAAAAGGTGCACATGAATTCATAAAAGGGTAAAATAGGTACTTTGAAAAAATGATAGTCAGTTTAACATTTTCTGTCTTGGTAATTGACGGAAGGTAGGTATTTGTCATTTTTTTTTTCAAAAATATAGGGGAAGTTTTTGATAAAGTGAAACTATAGAGAAATTTTTATGATTGTTAGAAACTTTAGGGGAGGTTTTTGTATTTTACCCTATAAAATACTATTGGGCCAGGCTTTTTTTTATAAAGCTTGAGCCCATCTTGAAAAAAAGTTAAGCCTAAGTGTTTTGGGCTTGAGCTAGGGATAATAATTTATTATCTAGCTTGGTCTAACCCTGCAAAATTTCAGGCATGGGCAGTCATATTTCCATCAAGTTTGGCCTAGACCATACCTGCATCAAAAGTCCACACACAATGCGAGTTAGGCTTGGGCCAAGCTAACCTTAGGCCATGTCTGTTCAACTTTCATTTGTTCTCATTCTTACCCAATATGAAATTATAAAACAAATAAGAACGAGTAAAAATTGGTAGAATGATAAAATATTGCTATGAACTAAACACTTTTCCTAATAAATGTTTTTTTCCAGTATGACAAATGCCCTATGTTGATCGTTTTCATTCTTAAAAAAAAAACACTGTTGGTGGTCATAAACTGTCTACATAAGTTTTCATGGCAATTTGTTAGTAAACATTTATAGCAGTGGTTTTGTAGACCTAGGCTAGTGGTTTACAACCGCCAACATAGAGTTTTTTTTTTTTTTTTTTGGAATGAAAATGAGCAAGATTGGACATGCTTATTTTTCATGCTACAAGCCACCTCGACTTTTGTGCTATAGGCTGATTTTTCATTATAAAAAGAATGAGGCCCATGGCAAGGATTTTATAACTAAATGCTTTAAAGTTATTCATTATTGCCCATTCTTATCTAAAATGATAAAATAATTAAGAAAATGAGGCCGAGAGCAGCGAACCAAACATGGCCATAGTATCTTATGTACATGGTATGAGTATTTCTCTCTCTCTCTCTCTCTCCATATATATATATATATATGTATGTATATGTATATGCAAAGTGCCAAGATGCCAACCAACTGGTTGGCAAGGTCTCCCACTAGTCGTAGCAGAGACTTAGGATAGTATAAATATTAATATTTTACTCTCTCTCTCTCTCTCTCTATATATATATATGCAAAGGTGCCAAACAACTGATTACTAAGGTCTCCTGTTGGTCATAGTAGCAAAGACTTGGGATTGAATCCCGCCTGCACCTGAGTTGGGGGATGGGCTACTCCGTTGTGTAGCTCTTCAAAATATATAAAAAAATGTAATTTGCATGACATGTATATCAATACATATGATATATATGCTTATAAGGTATGTATGTGTATATGATATAGTGGTATGTATATATGGTATTATATATTAATATGTACACAACAACTTTTTAAATATGTGTTTGTATAATACGGGCCAGCCCAGATGCTAGGCCCCGGACTGGGCCGATATCAGGCATAGGTACGGGCTGGTCCAGGCCTGGGTAGGCCTTAATGCTGTTGGTGCTGTAAAACTCGGCCTGGTAGGCCTTAATGCTGTTCGTGAGCCTAAAATCATGTCCAATCCCGATAAAGAATGACCGAGCTGAGCAAAGCCAACTCGTTGGCTATCCGGCCTCTCAACAGAGCGTCAGTGAACTGAGCGAAGCCCGTAGAAAGGCAGGAGGGAAAAAGAGCTCACCATAGAAAAGCTCAAAAAATTTAGGAAGGCGAAGGCGTGGGCGGTCAGAAATCTGTTCAGAGAAAGAGGAATCCGATCGCCGGAGTTCAGAAATCGACCATGGAAATTGAAATCGACGAGAACGAATTCAAAGCCGCCGGGGCTGAGTTGCTGACCGAGGGACGGCACGGAGTGCATATCCATGGTTGGGAGATCGAGTCACGCAAGCGATCCATTCTCAACTCCATCCACCTTCAGCAGTACGTTTTCATATCTCTTTCAGTATATGCTTAAGTTAAGTAATGTGATTAGGGTTGGTACCGACTTTTGATCCTGGGATCGATACTTGAACTCTGTAATGGTACTGCGAAAAGTTAATCTGAAATTGCTGATAAAAAAGTTAATTTGAAATTATGCCACACAATAGTACTTGGGGACATTAAAATCATTGTTATTATTTTTTCTTTTATATAAACGCTTGAACAATTTTGATGGACCATAGGCCACAACATTTTGGAATGAACGCATATTGGAAATTCCCTTCCTTCTCGTTCTAGTTTCTCTTTGACGATATGTTATCGCTCAAGCAAGCATGACCAAATTTTGGAATAAACAAACATGAAAAACACAAGTCAGCAATAATATAATTTTTGAGCCCGACTATGATACCGGAAAGGCATCATACGTGAAATATTGATAACCAAACAACGAGTATCATAAAAGCGGTAATCAATTAGCTTCTATTCATCAAAATTCACGGGGAGTTTTGATTAGGCAATGTTCTTCCTATATATATATATATTTTCTGTGAAGAACATAGATTTGTGCATGACCAAGATGAAGCTATTGTAGTCTTCACTGGTACGTGGATACGATCTTCTAAGTTTGAGCCTTGAGGTGCAATGTGTCGTATTTCTCATCTATTTCACTATACTAAATTTTGTTTTATTTTGTTTTTTGTTTTTTCGTTTTTGTTTTTTTTGCAGGTGGGAACAAAAGCTTCACACGACCCACTTACCGGAGATGGTTTTTGGAGAGAGTTCTCTAGTTCTTTACCACATGGGTAGCGGTGTTAAGATTCATTTCAATGCATTTGATGCTCTTGCCGGATGGAAGCAGGAAGCTTTACCACCAGTTGAAGTTCCTGCAGCAGCAAAGTGGAAATTCAGAAGGTATAGTGCATATAACTACCTTTTGACCAAAGTTTTGAGTTACTAAAATTTTGCAGTGCTAGAAGCCCAATAGCTGCAACCATTTAAATGAAGCCTGAAATATATAATAGGATAATGGTTGATACTTGATTCCATTAGGTTAATTTGGAGGGGATGGAGTATCAGGAGCGTAACATGATATTTTCACATCTAATCATTTGAAAAAAAATGTGATCACTTTCTTTGGTTCTCAAGACAGTGATCATTTACTTGTTTTCCATAATCAGGCACATGGCAGCAAGGTGCCAACTAGCTGGTTGGTAAGGTCTCCTGCAGGTTGTAGTGGAGACTTGGGATCAAATCCCGCCTGCACCTGGATTGAGGGCTTCATGGGTTTGGGGGATGAGCTATCCCGTTGAGTAGCCCCTTGGAGAAAAAAATCAGGTACACATCGACTTATTCAAGCCACATTGACCTGAGAAATAGATCCCTGTAACTGCTCCACATGTTACATGTTGCAACTAATATGTAGGAATGCATTTTTAAGATCAAGCTAAGTTTAAGGGGTGATCTTAATTGGTTGCCATCAAAACAACTTGGGTACAACTGAGTTTGGATCTTGTAGAGGTATTAGAATATTCTACTCTCAATGCTTGACTGAAGCATTTGGTACTCGAAGAAGTTTTTCTGTACCTACATGAATGGTAAGACAAATACTGCATAGACCCGCCTATGGCCAACAGCCTACTTACCGGTAGGGGAAATCACCTAGTATTATTGGAAGGGTAATCTGTGATACCAGAAAGGTATGATACTGGAAGAGCTTTGACCAATCAAAGCCCCCTGTGAATTTTGATGAATGCCACCTAATTGGTTACCACTTTTATGATACCGGTTGAGAGGTTATGAGTTTTTCCTGTGTCATAGTTGAACCCTTGTTGGCAAGAAGGATCAAAGGAGTACAAAGGTAAAAGAAAGGATAAAAAACAGCCATTTCATATTCCATAGCTTTTAGCCAGCCAAAGTGAGAGATTATTTCACTAAAAGAATGAGGAATATATGAAATCAAAACAGCAAAACCACAAAAAATAAGAGAGGTTCTGTAAGGAAAGCTAAGATTTAGGTTTTGTGATACATGAAACTTTAACTTTATGAGGAGCAATTGAAAATCAGGATTAAATATGTAAAATCACACCAAATAAAGGCAGGTATAAAAAAGAGTCATTTCATCTTCCACACCTTTAGCCAACTAGAGCAAGGATACCTTAATCATGCAACTGAGAAATAGGAAAAGAGAGCCCAAAAAAACTGAACTTAAATACTAGAAAGATTTTACAAGGAAAGAAATGAAGATTTAGGATTTGCAGTACAATAATCTTTTTTTTTTGAAAGGCAATTATTTAATATATTATATTGTAGTTAAAAGTAGCAAGAGAAGGGAGAGATTCCCTCAATACAGAGCTTAGGTAAATACAACAAAAAAACTACGGAAAACAGCAACAACTACAGACAGAAGCTATCATCCCAAATGATTTTATCCCAATGAGCTACAAAATGAGAGAAGCTGAACCCAACAAAGGTGATATTCCATAACATTCTTCCACAGGAGCAAAAGACATTAGATCTCCAGGCAGAAAATAGGGAACACAGGTCAAGGTGACTCACCCAGGAGATGCCAAATAACTTTAAAAAGTGGATCCAATTTCTCTGAGCATAGTCACGTTGAATTAAAAGATGCTGAACTGATTCTTTATTCGAGCCACACACAAGTTAGTAATGACTGTGCCTTTTGCTCTAATATTATCAATAATGAGAACTTTCCCCTTTATGGCTGCCCAATTAAAAAAGACACCTTGGAGGGAGTTTTGATTTGCCAGATCCAGTTCCAGGGAACAAAACCATCATCATGCCCTGATAGGGTATGGAAAAAAGAGTTGACTGTGTACTTAACTGATCCGTCTCCATTCACCACATGCAGTCTTTCAAGTGCACCCAACAGATCCACCAGGTTGTTTCAGTTCCAGTCATTTACATTCCTTCTGAAACATTGACTCCACACCAAGGTTCAAAATTTTGTTACATATAGGGGTGTATCGGGTGTATCATATTGTTTTGGTAGCACCCCATGACCCCAGTATACCTAAATAAAAGGTATAGGCAATTTCAGGGGCTGACCAGGCCTAAGACCAACCCCCCTGTAGACTTTAGAAAAAAAAGAAGCATGCGTGCCTTGGAAACACCCGATAGACAAGGTTTGTGTGTACTGATATTTAAAACCTTGATCACACAATCTGATTGCCAACTATATCAAAACAGTCATAAACCTTGGCCTCTTTATCTTGGGCCATTGCATACAAATTGGGAAAGGCTGAGCATAAGGGACTGCTGCTACATTCCAATAAAAGATGCTGTCATTGTTGTCGGGTTTGAAAGAGATGTTGTCAAAGAAACAATTCTTGTTATTTGCAGTATCCTTCCAAACACTATAACCTTAATAAGCTCGTTGTTGACTAGTTTCCCATCCAAGGTTTGATTCACCATGTTTACAACATATTAGCTTCCTCCGTAGTTCATTTTTATTACCAAAATGCCACAACCACTTTGAGAGGAGGGCCTTGTTCATTAGATGGAGTGGCCAAATACCCATCCCACCCTTTGCTTTCTGAGCATACACTTCTCCCCAAGCTAGAAGATGGAACACCCTCTCTTCATCTTTTCCTTCCCATAGAAAATCTCCACACAATTTCTCTAGTACCTGCAATACTAAACTGTGGATGCAGAATAAAGATAAATAGTAAATGGGAAGGTTTAATAAGGCACTTTGGTTAAGAGTCACGTTATCACCCTTTTGAAGATACCCTTTCTTCACCCATAGTGATTTTGCTCTTAATTAGCCCCAAGTTGGAAGGCTAAGGTACTTTGAAGGGAGAGAGCCTGTTTTACAACCCAACGCTGCTGCCAATTCATCAATGTTGGGAACATTCCCTATTGGGTCAACTCACTTTTTGCATGCAACTTTAAGGTTGATAATGTAGTCTCCATTCTCTGCCTTCTTAAGCATCCTGCTGAGAGCCTCCACTACAATAATGAATAAGAAAGGGGAGAAGGGATCTCCCTGCCTCAAGCCTCTACCACCATTAAATTAACCTTTGAGGAACTTGTTAACAAGGATAGAAAACATGGCTGAAGATAAGCAATTCCTAATCCATCCTCTTCATTTCACATCAAAACCGATTTTCTGAAGAAGGCAATCCACAAAGCCCTATCGTATATGATCATAGGCTTTCTCCATGTCTATTTTACCGATTACACCTGGCTCATCCTCTATGATTATTGAACCAATACATTCATTATCTATAAGAGGGCCATCCAGGATTTGCCTACTATCCACAAAGGCTCCTTGAGATGGAGACATGAGCAGATCCAACACTTTCTAGATCACTTTGTATATGCTGCCTATCAAACTGATAAGTCTGCAACCCTTAATGTCTACTGCTCCTGGCACCTTGTGGATTAAGGAGATAAAAGTTGCATTGGCTTCTGGAGTTAGAGCTGCAATGGAATAGAGTTCCCTCATCACTGCCATGAAATCATCCTTTAGGAACTCCCAGCATCTTCTCTTTTAAAAAGCCAACAAAAAGCCATTGGGATCAGGGGCCTTGTCTGGCCCATGAAAGTGCTCAAAATCCGAAACACCCCTTATTTGGGGTATCCTGTTTCAGAGAGCTGGATATGATACTATCCATCCAATACAGGGCATATCCTATCGAAATTTTGAACCTGAGTCTTAAGGGCCCAGAGCACTTCTCCCTCTTCAAAAGGAACTTCCAACCTGACAGTTATCATTTGGGAGAAACACTATCAAAACGAACGTCATCAATCCTCAATCTTATATAGTCATGAGCTGAAAAAAGATTGCTGTAGTGTTTTACAATTGCCTTGACAATCTGCCAGTCATCCTTCAACAACTGAGCAATAATTCTGAAGGTCATGGCTGGTATACGGGGAGTTTTTAGAAACTCTGAAGGTCATGTTGTTTCTGTTTTTTCAGGTCTAGTTGGAGTAAGGGACTCAGTTTTTGCGGAGTTCCAAGCTGTCTTACAAGGAATACAGATTGCTGGAGAATTAAATTATGACTGTTAGTTGAAGGTGGCTCTAAACTGGTAATAGGGTGGTTGAAGAAACCTGAAACTGTAATTTGGAAAGACAAAGAATATATGAAAAGATTTAAGTGGCTGGTCAGATATATGACAATTTCAGTCAAATGGGAATGGTGTTCGGCTAATGCGATGGCTGATTTTTTTTTTGCAAAACCCAGGGGTGGGGTGCATAAGTCTGAATTATTCTGGGCTCAGTTGTAATCTTGTTTCTGGCTGGGGCTGTATCTTTCAGTTCTGCTGGATATACTCTGTAATCATGGGATATTTCTTTCTGTTCAAATAAAATTTCTATCATTTATCAAAAAAGAAATCTGATTAAAGAAATGGTGTTGCACTGACCCCTGGCACTAGCTTTCTTATGGAAGAAGGCTGTGTTCCCTTCCCCTCTTTAAGCCAAATGGCTCTAGATTCCTGTCACCAAGCTATCTCCTCCATTCTATCCATCCTGGAGAAACCATCTCTTGCCAAGTCTCTTTCCATCTTCTCTGCCTTTGACAGAGCTGCCGATCCTTCTTTCAGATTAATTTGGATGAGCTGAACGCTTTGGCTGTGGAACCAATGATAATGCCCCACACCAGTGATAAAATACATGGGGCCAACAGTGAGAGGTTGAAAGGTTGTGGTCCCCCGGCCCCATGTATTTTATGACTAGTGTGGAGTGTTATTTGGTTCTACAGCCTATTGCATTCAGCTAATCCTATCTTCTTTCAGATCAAGTGCTTTTATTTCCTCCAACATCTTAATTCTCCTTTGCTGAACAGGACCTATTTCTTCTGTACTCCAACTCTTAATTTACTTTCTACTCTACATTATTACAGATTTTGCTATTTCACTGGGTTTTTCCCTTTTCTTTTCTGTATTTTTTATGGGTTTCAAGAACTTCATTCCACTGAAATTTGTTTTTTATTTTTATTTTGTGTGTGTTGTGTGTAAATTGAAACAAACAAATCTGTATATCTGAACTCTTAAACATGAGATTTTTTCTTCTTTCATGGGGCCTAGTGAGTTGTGTACCTATGGAGGGATGTATAATAATATAATCCTCGGGGCCCTAATTGAAATTCTCCTTCCTATTTGCATGTGCTTAGCCAGTATTCCCTCACCTTAAGCAGTTACTAGAGAATATTGTATTACAACAATCCTTTCCTTCTTCTCGATCTCTATCTATTTATCTTATATCTGTTCTACCTTGTCAGACAATGCCAGTCACTTGCATTTCTATTAGGTCAACAGGTGATTCCATCTCATTTACCTTTATGACAAACTGACAATATATATGCATTATTTGCCCTTCAAATCAGCAAAAGAATCAGTAGCACTATCTGCCTTGTGTGGTTGGCTCTGTATTTTAGTGGTTCATTGAACCCTTTAGACATCTAAATTACCTTAGATGTGTTAAACAACAACAACAACAACAACAACAAAAACAACAACAACAATAGTAAAACTGTAAAAGTTCATATTGTGGAAGCTAGATGGTTGGTATTAACTTAGAGAAGGTGAATGGATCAAGTACTAATATGGCTATCCAATCTCACATATCATTATTGAATTTGCAGCAAACCTATCCAGCAGGTGATACTTGATTATGATTATACATTTACAACTCCATATTGTGGAAGTGAGATGGTTGATGTAAGCCTAGATAAGGTGAGCGGTTCAAATATTTTGTTGTTTGACTAACCTGTTTATTAATATTCTAGATTGGTCTTATCTGCCATGCTTTCATATACCATATTCCTCTTGTTTCTCATGCTCTGATTCAATGTGAAATCTCATGTTGCTCTGAACACTTTTCATGTATCAAATGAACCCTTTTTGAGTCTCAATGTTTAAGCTTCCTACATCCAGGTTGATCTTTAACTGAAAGTTTGATAGAAAGGAATAAAGACTGTTTTATGATTAACATGTTTGCAGCCACATGGGCATGTCTCATGATGGGCCTAGTGGGTGCTGCCCAAATCTGAATCTTGCATTTATATTCACACCTAGGCTCAGGCTGGGCTTACCACAACATTTTAGGCTAGGAATGTCATTTCAATCCACAAGCTCATTTAATCACTACTGCAAATGAGGTTCAATTTTTAGTTCGTTTTTTCTACTCTCAAACTCCAGTCCATAACTAGAAGTGCTAACTAAATATTGTAGGAAGAATTCCTTAACAGGAATCTCCTTGCCACTTTCCTGTACCTACCCATCACTTCCTTTGAAATGACGTGGGAAACCTTCATTTGCTTGTTACTTGCAGCCATACAAACAACTCTACTGAAGTCAACGCAGCAAAGCCTTATTTCCAACAACATGCAATGTGGTCGGTTCATGAATTTTGTTTCACCTTTGCGCTCTATCAAATGTTATATCCTCTGTTAAATTGTGAGTCCTATAATTTTTCACAAAACATAAAAGGAATATATGTGCACACATGAAAAGAAAAGAAAAAAACTAGTACACTTATCCAAAAAACTCTACCAGTGTAAGCATGTCTTACACCACTGGTCCCAAGCCCAGAAAAGGAAGATTGTGTCAAGTTGGCAGGTGGCACTAAAAATTTGGCCAAATTCTCATGGTAATGGATCCTGATTTGATTTACCAAAAAACTAACAATAAGCAAAATTGGTAACCCAACCAGTTGAATTGCAATAATCCTTACCTGAGAGATATGTCAAGTCATCATTTCCTTCTTTCTATTATGCTTCTAGACCTAGAAATAACCTTTGGAATTATATTTGCATCAATATTATCATGGTCCAGGTCTTTTTTTTGGATCAATAACGGAATCGGTATCATTAATTAAGAAGAAAATTAGTACAATTGAAGAGAAAGAAGGGGGAAGGGATAAACTCTCTCAGCCCCTCCCCAAATAAAAAATATTACAACACTGCCCAAAACAAGCTATTCCTTCCCACCCCTTGTACATACCTGTAAGGACTCCATATGGCCAGATTTTGAAACATTGACTTATTTGTATAATGGGATTAAGAAATAGTCCTAGCTAGTGCTTAATTAAAAACAAGTCTGGATTCATACTGGAGGATGCCCAAACAACTGTATAGCCAGCTTGGCCCATTTACACTCCTATAATGATGATCCTATACATGCCAAGAGTCAGCCTGATCCATCATTCATCCATTGGGTTTTAGCCTTTCTCTTTTTACGGATGTCATGAGCTATGGCATGGTCCGTGGATCCATGGTTTGAAAGCATGGAGGATTAGTGCCCTTGAATTTGAGGTTCTTTTTGTTTTGTTTTTTCGCTAGGGGGGGGGGGGGAATCAAATCCAAAATCTGGACATCACCAACCAGGCTGATTTTTGGTATGAAGAATTATCCAGAGGCATTCAACTGCTGGGCCTAGAGACATGCCGGATGGCAATGAAACCACACAAGCATGGGAACAAACCTCTTCCTGTGAAACAAGTAAAATTATGCATGCATTATTATATCATCATCATCATCATCCTAGCCTTATCCCAACTATATAGGATTAGCTACATGAATCCCGTTTCATCATTCCATTCTGTTTAATGCCATAGCCATTGTTAAATTATTGGTGCTTAAATAATTTCTTACTACTTCTACCCATGTGCTTTTTTGGTTGACACCTTGCCCTTCTAGCCTCTTGAATTTGTAACAAATCACTTCTTATGGGTTTCCGTTGATGGTCTTTGAGAGAATTTGAGAGAAAAAATGAATTGATTGTATTGTCTTGGAAGGAGCATATACACAACTTTATATAGAATTACAGAGCTARCTTAYADGGCGATAAAATAGGAAACTAACTTTTCCTAGAAAACTAATTTCTATATCAGTGGGATTCTCCAATTAATATCCCATGATTCTAGGATATCCCATGATTCTAGGAAACTAATTTATGTATGTTTCCTAAACTGATGGACCTAAAATTATGGAGAATTAATCAGAGAGTCAATCTTCTACTTTCCAACACTCCCCCTCAAGCTGGTGAATATGCATCTTTCATTCCCAACTTGGAGATAAGTCCTTGGAATGCTACACTGCAAAGCCCTTTTGTCAGCACATCTGCTAGTTGACCATTCGTTGAGACGTATGGAGTGCAAATTAATCCGCTATCCAGCTTCTCCTTTATGAAATGCCTATCTATCTCAATGTGCTTTGTCCTGTCATGTTGGATAGGATTGTGAGCAATGTTAATAACTGACTTGTTGTCGCAGAATAATCTCATTGGACCTTCCCATCTGATCTTTAGGTCTTCCAAAATTATCTTRAGCCRTWGTAATTCACATACTCCCTGAGCCATTGCCCTGAATTCTGCCTCCGCACTTGATCTAGCTACCACATTCTGCTTCTTACTCCTCCGTGTCACAAGATTTCCTCCAAGGAACGTATAGTAATCTGTAGTGGACTGCCTATCCACGGGAGAGCCTGCATAATTTGCATCAGTGTATGCCTCTAGGGCTAATCCAGTATTTCTTTTAAACAAGATTCCTTTGCCAGGATTAGCCTTTAGATAATATAATATCCTATAGACTACCTGTAGGTGAACCACTTTCGTATTGTGCATAAACTAGCTAACCACGCTCACGACATATGCTATGTCTGGCCTTGTGTGGGCAAGATATATAAGTTTTCCTACTAATCTTTGGTACATTTCCCTATTCATGGTTGGAT